TTTGAACCAAGAGAAAGGCAGAGTTGGGCACAAAGGAAATGAGGAAGAAAAATAGTAAGTGGACAAATTAGACCTAATTTTATCAATTCTTTTTAAAACCATAAGGGTGTAATGGCTGATCAGGGTTGTCAACTTGACTGCACCCATCTGGAATCAATAAAACCCCAAGCAGCTGATCATACCTAGGAGGGACTGTCTTGATTGGATCACTTGGGTAGAAAAGACCCCCATTAAATCTGGCCACCCCTTCTGGTTGCCAGCCTACACACACACAAAAAAAAAAGGCAAAGAAGAAGGAAACTTTTGCTTTGTCCCTGCTTAACCCCACTCTTGCTGCCAAGCTCATCTATCCTGATGCAAGGGCATTCTTTTACTGTCAAAAGAGCCTATTTCTTCAAGATTACAATGTAGAATGAAGACCAGCTAAGATATACAGCCTCATGGATTGAACAATATGGGATTATTGGCCTTTTGGTTGTTGGTCTAGCTGGACTCTCTCTCTCTCTCTCTCTGTGTGTGTGTGTGTGTGTGTGTGTGTGTGTGTGTGTCTGTGTAATAAAGTGACTTAAAAGAGTGACCCCCCCCCAAAGAGAATGTCACTATTAGGAGGTATGGTTTTGTTCAAATAGGTGCGACCTTGTTGGAGAAACTGTGCTACTATGGGGGTGGGCTTTGAGGTTTCCTGTGCTCAAGCTACATTCACAGTGACTCAGTTCACTTCCTGTTGCCTGCAGATCAAGATGTAAAACTCTCAACTCCTTCTCCAGTACCATGTCCTGCCATGATGATAATGGACTAAACCTCCCAAACTGTAAGCCACCTCAGTTAAATTTATTTTTTCCTTGATTAGAGTTGTTGTGGTCATGGTGTCTTCACAGCAATAGAAACCCACATGGATATAAATGGATTCACATTTTTTCATTCTATCAGTTCTATTCCTCAGAAGAATCCTGACTAACACAGAAGGTGTGAGAGTTATTCTAATGTTTCTTATAAATATGGGGAACCTTTAAATTCTTGGAGGTCAGAATTTAGCAAGTAAGACTTAGAACCTCTGCTCCCATGACCAAACTTGTTAACTTTCAGCTACAAGTCAGAGTGGCCAGATGTGCTTAGCTGGAATTTGTGTTGTGCCATCTTCACAATTTGCCTGAGACAGTCAAATTAGAAATAGCAAAGGTTTCTCTCAGTTCATAGTTCCAGATGCTTCAGTCCATGTTTATTTGGTCCCTTTGCTTACGAGTCTGTAGCAAAGGCAACAAGTTATGGCAGTGGGCAAAGCTGTTCATTTCATGGCCTAGAAGAAAAAGAGAAACTAGTCCCCTCCCACTAGGCCCCACTTTTTAAAGATGCTACTACTTTCCATAAGGCTGGGGAACATGCCCAGCCCCTTGGGACACATCTCACATCCAAACTATAGTAATGCCTATCCCTCAAAACAATTGGAAGGCCTTTCTATAATCCAAGAGAATAAACCTAATGTTATACCACTTCGTGGATCTGATTTAAATTATCTGCTAAAAGTGTTCCACTGAGCCAAGTACATTTTTAAGCCCAGAGAAGCCAATGGACGGAGAGGTTATCAATTCAAATTAGATAACAGGTCTTTCTTTATTGCACAGATCAGCATCCCTAAGGAAGGAGGGACTGGGGACACCATATTTGTAACCATGGGGAAATGGTGTCTACTGCAGACCAGAGGAACAGAACGAAAGACTGTTTTCTCTCAAAATTAACGGGAAAGAGCAATGCTACTGGAATGAATTTAGAGGACATACAAGCTAAACTTTATTTTTAAAAATAAAAGCCAATATCCCAGACTATTAAGACAGTCTCATTATTCAAGTTTATAGAATATTCTATACATTAATTTGTGTGACAAAGCATATCAGTGGTGTGTTCTTTTTCTCTCCACAGCCTCGGTAGCTTTCAAACAGGATATAAGAATGCTGAAAACTCAGAAGGAAGCAGTCAGAAAACAAAAACCCCAAATTATGTTCATTGACCTTCCTCCAAGTGCTTTGACCATATGGCCAAGGCCTTGAATGATTTCATGTTCTCTGTATTGCATCACTGAGTTCAGGTCCTCTTTTAGGTCTGACTTAAATAAGCAGGAACAAGTTCTGATTTACATTCTCATGACTAGATTCTCTCAGCTGAACTGTACTAAAACTAGTTTTCAACTATCCATCATGAATGGCTTCATTTTCAACTAATTACTCAACTTACTACATTTCCTTTTATAGACAAAATCACACTACACATATGGGTTGGCTGGTAATTCACTGTGTAGTTCAAGCAAGTCAGTAACTCACTATACATTTCACTTTTTTTCCTTCCTTGGCCTCTCAAGGGTTGGGATTATTAGTTTGTGGCATTCATGCCTGAAATCCCTATGATTTTTGATACAGAAGGGTTATCACACTGACAAAGAACAAAGAACAGTCACTGCCAAAGAACCTAAGAGCCCAAGGTCCTCTGACAGGGCATCGAGAGTAACATTTTTAAAAAATTTCCATCAGAACAAAGCACTGCATCTTCCAGTAGGTGAGTAATATGAATTTAAAATCTGCAATCTAAGCATGCATAAATCTGATTCAGTTTCAGTGTGAGATCTTACAAAGGATCTTCAACGGTCCCACGGTATTTGATCTAGATAAGCTAAAGTAACCTGTAGTTCACCTCACAAGAAAACAAAAATGTGAGAGAGAAAATCACATATATAATACTTCAGGGAGCACGTCCATGCAGTAACAAGTGTGTGTGTGGGGGGGGGGGTGTCATTCCCAAGTCAGTGTGGCCTTTTTTTTAACACACTCCTGAAAACATTGGATCATCTATTTATACAGATATGACCAAATAAAGTGTCCAGTTCTAACCCATGTGTGTTTTCTGCTTTGCACATGTGCAGATTAATACACCATTCCCAGGCAGGTCACGGCAGAATCTTCTCCACTTGTGTTCTGTCCTGTAGACTGGGTGTCACCAAAGGTCTTAACTTTCAGCCAGTCATCTGATGGCTTACAGCTACTTTGGTCTGTTTTTATTTGAGTTGGAGCATGGAATTATGTTACTTCCAGGCACAGCTCCAGTTTTCTTGTTTTGATTTTAAGCTTTCTTGCAATGAATGAATCACTGAGCAAGATATTACCTAAGCAACAAAACTTCAGAACGAACTTGCAACACCATACCACCAATTACTGTGCCTTTATTACTTTTACCACTGAAGCAGATAAAGGGATATTAAGACAATGGATTTTTTTTTCAAATACCAAGCTGGTAATTTTTAACTTCATAACATTTTATTCAAATTTGTGTTTGTATGTGTTTGGTCATTTCTGTTTGGCATATTAACAAAAGAGTTTCAGGGGGGCAAGGCTTCAGACCCTCTTCTCGCTAGTATTGGGCACATGTCCCAAACACTACAAGTATACAATGCCATTAGGAGAATTCTGCATATCTCTCTTATCCTCACACTTTAAAAAATAGTGCTTTTTATTAACTCTGAGAATTCCATATATGAATGCACTCTGTTTAGAATCTTTTAACTTTGATTTTGGAGACTATACTATAATTACTACATATCTCCTTTTTCTATCTTCCTATGGCACAGCTATCCCACTTCTTAACATCTGCCCAAAGGACTTGATAGCCCACTCCACAGGTATTTGGTACTTGTTAAAAACAGTAACAACCAGACTTGGCAATGATAAAGTTGGAGTAAAATATCAGTATGATGACATTTCCAGACATAAATTTGGTAACAATATTTTACCATCTTGATAGAGTAATTCAAAAACTTGAAATCTGTATTAAATAAGCAATTACTAGGGTTTAGGAGATGGCTCAGAAGTTAAAGTGCTAGCCATGCAAGCATGAAGACTGACATTCAGATCCCTAAACAGTGTAACTGCCAGGTAGTCAAGGGGGTCTGCTTGTAATTCCAATGTTTAGAATACAGAGAAAGGATTTCCAGAGCAAACTGAATAGCTAAATTAGCCATGTTCATGAGGTGGTTCAGCGAGATACCCTGTCCAAATGAGTAAGTTAAAAGATGGAAAACTACTGAAGTCAGCATCGGTCAGCCTCCACGTACATGTCTCCACAGGTGTGCCCACACACATGAGAAAAATAAAAAAGAAGAAAGTCAATAGTATAATGCAGATAATGATATGCAAATGAAGTGAATCCCTGATGCAGCATGGGAAATTAATACACACCAGTGATAACCTCCAAAACAGAAATGAGACCAGCACGTTATTGTACTTCCATATATCTGGCTGCTAGTTAGACAATTAGCTTCAAGATTAAGGGTGACACAACTCTTGCTATAAATATTAATACTACTTAGCATACAGTAACGCATAAAATCGAGTAAAGTGAAGTTTCTTTGCTACTAAGTTCATTTCTTGAATATTTTGTTGTTGCTGCTGTTGTTGTTATAAAGTTCAAACTGAATGTAAAGTCCTAAGTAGTCATGGATCTTAAGTCAAGTCTCCAAAGAAAGCAGGAGCAATGGAATGCTATTATAGAAATATGTTGAAACTGGTCAGTCATTCTCTCAAGTTCAGGGGGCTTTTAATAGCTGATTGTCTGCTACTGGGCTCCAGTCACCAATACCAACTACACTTCTGTTTTGATCCCTACTGGAGTTCACAATTCTGAAAGAATGTGATAGAGTGTGCTGTTGTTAGTGGATCAAAGCCTGGTAGATGGATTTCATTAGAACTTGGCAGTAGATCTGACTCACAAAATACACAGCCACTTCTCATCAGTCACCCAACTTATACTCAGTCATTCACTATAAGGAATGATTTCCAAAATCAGTAGATTATACTCATTAAACAAGTTTCATACACTAATCACATTTACAACATCCTATATTTCATGTAAACCCAAGTTTCTGTGGTACAAGAATTATTCAGTACGGCCATAAGCTAAATTCAATTGTGTGAAACATGCACTCAAATTATACAAACAGAGACACTTGTAAAACTTACATAAAAGAATCCCAGTGGTCCAGATATATATGGCATTTTTATTCCCAAGAGATACTTGACTTGTGAAGTCACAACATGGGTGGCGGCCCCCGTGGTCATGGCGCTGATCACAGGCTCTGTAACTAGGAACGTGGCACTGCCCAGCTGCAGCACAAACATAACCATCTAAAAGGATAGAGGAGAGTTGGGCATCACATTCAGGTGACATCCTTAAGGTTCATAAAAAGGTGAAATGTCAGACACATTTAGTATTTCTGTGTTTTTGAGAATATTACAAGGTTGAGAAGTGTCCTAAATTTTCCTAAGTACAGTATGCATGGTTTCATTAAAATTAACCCAATAGTTTCTGCCTTCTCAATATAGACCATTCTTTTTCTTTTCCTTATTGTGATGCTGGGAATCTGGACATCAGTGTTGACCAGGCTTCTGTGTTAATTCCTACTGGAGTTCATAATACTGAAAGAATGCAATAAAACATTCTGTTTGCACTGCAAAATTAGGAAATGGTTTCCTTCAAAGGCCAAGAGAAAGACTAGATCAACATGTGGATCTCTGTGGAAAAAATTAAATTTGCATTAACATATGTAATTTTTAAAATGCCAAAAAGAATCATGACTCACTACTTGATACCCAGTAAATGTATAACTTCAAAGACATTAAGGAAAGAACTTTTTAGCTGAGCTTCTGAAAAGTGGGAGCAAAGCCTGACACAATGCCCTGGGACACCATTCTAAAAGGCTAGTGTTTACTAAGAAGACAGCAGATCTTTCTGAAGGTGGGGGTCCAGATAGAGACAGACAATACAGATGGGAATACAGATAGAGACAGTATCTTAGTTAGGGTTTCTAGTGCTGTGAAGAGACACATGACGATAGTAATTCTTATTGTTTTTTTTGTTTTGTTTTTCAAGACAGGTTTCTCTGTGTAGCTTTGGAGCTTATCCTGGGATAGTAACTCTTATATAGGAAAATATTTAATGGGGTGGCTGACAGTTTCAGAGGTTTAGTTCATTATCATCATGGTGGCACAAAGGCAGAGAAGGTGCTGAAGCTGAGAGACCTACATCTTGATCAGCAGAAAACAGGAAATGGTCTGAGACACTAGGCATGGCTTAAGCATATGTGAGACCTCAAAGCCCACCCCCACAATGGCATACTTCCTCCAACCAGGCCACACCTACTCCAACAAAGCCACACCTCCTAATAGTGCCACTCTCTATGAGCATCTAAGAGCCAATTACATTCAAACCACCACAGACAGGGAATACAGGCAGAGACAAGGATACAGATAGAGATGAAGAACACAGATAGAGACAGAGTATGGATGTGTGTTAATAAGAGGACTTTATAGAAATCACTATGACTGCCAGCATCATCCTCCATTTCAACCTAAGTTCAGAAGGCAAAAAACACACTCCTGCAATTTCTAGGATCATATCTTTTGCTGGAGGAATTAACAAGGTAGCTTTAAAAAGATCTTTGACCATGTAAACCCAGTCACAGGATCAGTAAAAAATAATATTAGTTTGAATGTAACACTGAATTATATTTGTGAATATCCCTTCCAGAAAAAAAGAAATAGGTAATATTTTAATGATAGAATGTAGGTCAAGTTTTAAAATTCCTGTTGGAAAACAAGATTAAGAAGAAACCAGAGGGAAGACTAGCAGAGAAATTTCCTGCAATCAAGAGGTTAATATTGAGACATAGAAGTTCAAAATGTTATCTGCTACCACCAGAACATAAATTGCAAAATGTGTGACATCTATATTGTGATAACATCTCAATGCATGTTTGGCTGCCAGCAATAACGCTCTCCTATTAAGTAGAGTTTCCTGGGCAGAATCTGGAACATTAGCTTTATGATCCTGTTTTCTCCCTCATCCTAAATGCTATAGAAAACCTACTGCAATTCTTTGAACTGGATCATCATCCATAAATTATGAGAGTGACGTGTGTCCTGTTCATCCTTTAGGGCTCCAGTAAGGTGAATGTGAAATGATACACAAGAATGCTTTGAAGTCTGTAAATCATGCAGGATGGGTAATAGAGAAAGATGTCGTGGAGTATTTTACATATCTACTCTATGGGAAACTAGCTATTGGTTTTGAAAACGCAGACATGGCCACATCATATTTTTCAACTCTGGAAGCCTTGAAAGAATGTGCGTGCAGAAAGGGTTGCATTTGAATTGTTGCAGCTTAGCAGCCACCTTTCATTCAATGTGTGATAAGAGAAGAATGAGGGCATTAACACAGAAACCAGGCAACTTTCACTGCCAACACAGGAAGAGAAGGCTGTGGCTTCTGTTAATATGCTTTGTGTCAGAAGCCTTATGTTAGTTTGGAAAGTAGAAACAAGACCCTGCTGGAAATTCCAATGCAACTAAGCTTACGGGTATTAAAGGAACACGGTGATCTTTGTGGCCTCTCTTGACACAGTCTTTTGATTTCCTTCTGCAAACACAATCTAGAAAAACACTGAACCAAGAATTCCCAATTATCTCTCCATAAGCAAGATCATGAATTCCCATTTATGGTATTAACTCTTGGAGGTCATGATGATGAAATGAGCATGTTACAAAATTACAAAGAACACCAGAGCTGAGTCTTCATTATATCTAAATGAACCATACATGTAGTTCACATATTTAAAACTCTGGATGCTATTCACATAAATAAAATACTATGTATGTATTGCGGAGGGTTGGGAAGTTCCTACCTGTGTGACTAGGAGCTAATCATTGTTTTAAAGATATAGTTTTTGCCAGGTGGCGGTGGCGCACTCCTTTAATCCCAGCACTCAGGAAGCAGAGGCAGGCAGATCTCTGTGAGTACAAGACCAGTGTGGTCTACAAGAGCTACTTCCAGGACAGCTTCCAAAGCCACAGAGAAACCCTTCTCCCAAAATACATACATACATACATACATACATACATACATACATATATGTTTTTTTATTTTACATAAAAACCCCAGTTCCCCTCACTCCCCTTCTCCTGCACCCCACCTCCACCTTTATCACTCTCATCCACTCCTTATAGGGAAGGCTTTCCTTGAGGAGTCAACAAAATCTGGCATACAAGGTGAGACAGGAACAAGCCCCTGCCCCCCCCATCAAGACTGAGTAAGGTATCCCACCATTGGGAATGGGCTCCAAAAAGCCAGTTCATGCCCCTGGGTAAGGCCATGGTGCCACTGCCAGGGAAGAAGTAATCTCTTAAAAGGCTTTGCAGGGACCATCACAATTTCAACTTCTGCTTTTGCTTTATTTCCTAAATTACAATGTCTCTTTGGATGGGTTGATGACTTGCCATGTCTGAGAAATTGGCAGTGGCCACTAACTGTAACTGCCTAAACCATGAACTTCCACTAACAGCTTGGTCATTTCCACAATCTAAGCTTCCGAACTGAAAGGTCCAGGACAAATCTAGGGTATCAAAAGAGCCCAACAATTTCAAATACTAAAAACATTGGACTCTAGTAAGCCATAGAAATCAGATGCAAGGGCCTACCCTCTTTTCAAACACCACAGTCTCAACTATTGTAATGTGCTGTGTGGCCACAAATCTATGTCTTTAAAATATCCTGATACCAAGAAACAAGGGTTTGGAAGAGAGAATTCTTGAGTGGAAGGCCAACAGGTCCCTCAAGAACTCTTTCTGACATGGACCACTGGGCAGGAATAACAAACATGCGGGAGACAGTACTTTCTTCTGTTTTCCCTTTTCTTCATTTTCAATACCAATGTTCTAGGCTAATGCTTAAAACCTCTGACTAGCATGGTAGTATTTGATCATGTCTGTATAAAAACCATAAGTTCCATATAAAATAAATGTATTTCAGATTTCAGTCCATTCTTTTCAAGTGATCTTCAAACATTTTTAAAGTTTGACTAGAAAACAACTGTATGTTCATATGAATGTGATACAGCATGCATTTCAGGTGGTATTGCTGTTCTGGATCGCTATGGCAAATCACTTACATGCCCTTTCAATGAGAACTTATGGAATACCCAGTATGATATATGCATAACATTGTTGCAAATTATAGAGTTTAATACATGGCTCACACCTCAAAATATTGAATAAGGAAAGGTGAAATGAAGAAGCTAGGAAACAGGAGTGTGGATTAGGACCATAAAAAAATGAGCAAAAGTGTTTAGAAAGTAAAGTCTGAAAAGTTTTGAAGGTGGGACCTAAAAGGTTAGTAAACCTTATGGTGTTTGTTAAACAGTATATACAGGCTAGGGGAAAGAACAAATTCTTCATGACAGTAGGACAACCAAGTGTACATAAGCATGGTGGAAAATCCTCTGTGTGGACATAGGATTTGAGAGTGAGAAAAAGAACAAATGGATATGTATGAAGGTATGCATTACAAAATTCAACACCAAAACCTTCATTATATCCTCAGTTTAAAAGATAATTATCAAAGGCAAAATGTCCAAAGACATAAGTGAATCTTGAATTTGCATTGTAAATAAAAATAAGTAGTATTTAATATTCCCTTTACATGACACCCTTTAAAATCTAAGACTATAGATACAGTAAGTAAATCTTGGTTTCCAACAACTTCAAAATAAAGAATGTCAAAGAAATAAAACATAGGCTTTGTAGGGTAGTGAGACCACTCCAAATATTACTGTAATGGCCAATTTGAGACACTATAGAGTATCAAAAAACAGTGATCTCAGAATCCCTAATGAGGTAGTACTGGTACTTTTATCTCATGTGGAACCGACAACTGATTAATTGGACTTAAAGCCTGATCAACAGGAGAGAATTCATGCCTAGTACTGTAAAGCTATCAGATATTCATAGGTAGCGATGACAAACACTTGAGAAGAGAAACTACTACTGATATTTTCTTAAACCAATAAAATTTCTAACTGTATTCTAATTACGTATCTACACCCACAGGCATGTGTAGCTCTCACCTCTCCTCCAAAAGGCTTATTTTTTTGTAATAGATAGATAATATTACAGCAATCCACAGCTGATCAAAATGCAGAGAATAAGGATTTCAGGGTGCCCAACCCTAACTGATATATCTGCAACACAATTCATACACCTAAGGCTCAGGAAAAATCACTAAAGGAAAGACAAAAGGATTACAAGAGCCAGAGTTCCAAAACACCGGCTGCTAGATAATGTCTTAGGCATAA